GAGACTAAATATGAAATAAACTGGATGAATATATTGCTTAGGAGATTAAATAAATTCCATTAGCCTTTAGCTCTTTGTAATAAAGGCGTGTTCAGTCTAAACAATTGATTTATTACTCATTAGTCTAACCACAATTAATGAATGTAACTTCATTACAGCTGGAATTATGGAACACGAACCCCAGTTGGGTAGTTAAAAAAATCTAGACTAAAATGTGTATTGCTTTAAACTGCTCTGCCAGACTATTTACTACATGGGAATAAGGCAAGGCCTAATTAGACGTTAGTTGGGCTTTGCAGATACTGTGCTAAGTGTAGGATTTATGATGTCTCTTCATTATCGTCACAAATTGAGTCAACCTTATAAACACAGCTGGGTCAGTTTACAAGAGAAGCGCCACAGGAGGTGGGTCTTATACCGGAAATGAAGAGATACAGCTAGGGAGGATTTTTTCAAATAAAGGGAGGATGCGAAGGGGCAGGAAATGTTTTCTATATAAAATATAATGGAGTGCACAATTGCTAAAACTACTGCAGTAGCTTGCCAGGTCAGCAGGGGGTACATGTAATTGCCATGAACCACTGTTGACTGCATCAACCATGGACCAAAATATTTCTATGCTGCCTTGAATCTTGCCATTTTCTGACTAATTTTATCACAAAAGCTCAGCCTTTGGTTTGTCCTGTGCTGCCAAACTATATTCTGACCTTGGCAATATGTGACAGGATCCATTATACAGGCCATCAATTTTCAAGGCAGCTGTCTAATACTGATGAAAATACATTTATTAGGAGTACTTACAACTGAGCACAAAACACCTCTGTAGGTTTACATTTGTAGAATTTCTTAAATGCTAGCCAAGCATGGCTTAATCTGATGGTCAGAGAGAGTTTTTGATGTTTTGGCTCTGGTTTTGGAAATATTAACACAGGAGGAAGTTCTTAATTGTCTTGTGAAAGAAGTGAGAATGGATAGCAGGGTAACTTAGCTTGAAAACTGTAACAGCTTACAGAGTGTTTTTTTTTTCCTGCTGTGACCAACTGCCAAAAACTCAGACAAGAGATGGCTAGGAAAAAATTGGGAGTGTGCTTGATCCTATGACCTCTTTCACTTTTAAATCACTCATTTGACAATCTGTTCTGCATTAAACATGTGAGCTATAAGTATATGTAAACCCAATCACTAAAACCTCATATAATCTTTAAAGTGGTTCTAAAGGATCAAGGTTTTTTACCTTCGTGCATTCTTGTTAAAATGCGCTTCCAGATTCCGATAAGCCCCCTGCCTGCAGACCCCCACAACCACCGGCCAGGGTTGTGGGGAAGAGGCCCTTGTCCCCATCAACATGGTGTCCCAAAGCACCCCCCCATGTTGAGGGCATGTGGCCTGGTATGGTTCAGGAGCAAGGGGGGGGTGCTCGCCCCCCCCCCCCTTTCCTGACCTGCTGGGCTGCATGCTCGGATAAGGGTCTGCTATGGATTTTGGGGGGACCCCCACGTCATTTTTTTTAAATTTTGAGAGTTCCCTTCAAAATCCATACCAGACCAGAAGGGCTTGGTATGGATAGGAGGGGGGACCCCATGCCATTTTTAAATTGATTATGGTGCCGGTTTTTAAATGTAATTACCGTTTTTTTTTTTTTCTTCACTATAGCTCTGAGATTCAGCTGTTACTTTCCCCCCAGCTAAAAGAAAGAAAGTTTCCTTTTAGTTTATTTCCCCGAGTTAAAAGAAACAATGTTTCCTTTTAGTTTCTTAACTCCAGAGAAAGTGACAGCTAATTCTGTGAGCTATAGTGAAGAAAAAAAAAAAAAAGCCAGCAATTGCATTTAAAAATTAGCACCGACATACGCTTCGTATTACAAAAAAAATGTGTTAAAAATGTGTAAACCGAGGCATTATTTTTAAAGGATTATCATTCGTAAACCGAAAATTGCGTTAACCAAGGCATTTGTAAACCGAGTTATACCTGTACTTGTGTTTACAATAACACTGCTGTACACAAAAGTACAGAGGCACAGAGCCATTCATGTCAATGACAGACTGTAAGTTGTATCAAGACTGTCTGGGCGAGGGATACATGTTGAAAATTTTGCTAAACAGTTTAGAAATACTTGCTGTTTGCTTACATTAGAAGATTGGCAGGTCTTTATATTAAAGTGGAGCTGCACCCAAAAGGGAAAGTTCCGCTTTAAGCCTTTGTCCCCCGACCCAATTAAGGATTGGCACCTTTGGGGAGCGGGGGGGAGCAGGTACCCAAATTTGACAGGTACCCGCTCCCACTTCCTCTACGATTGCCTAGGCGATGGGAAGCGGAAGTTGTCCTCTCCCCCTCCCTCCCTGTAGTCTTCTGGGACATGTGACAGGTCCCAGAAGACTACGAGGACATTCACAAAGCACAGTGCTTCTCACGCATGCGCAGTGGGTACCCGGCTGTGAAGCCGCAAGCTGTCACAGCCCGGTGCCCACAATGCAGATGCCAGCGCCAGAGAGAGAAGACGGCCGGTGAAACCAGCGGTTGTGAGGACACCGCTGGACCAAGGGACAGGTAAGTGACTGTATTTTAAAAGTCAGCAGCTACAGTTTTTGTAGCTGCTGATTTTTTTATTTTTTTTTCAGGTGGAACTCCGCTTTAAGGTGCAGTATTGCCTTAACATTTTGGCCAAAAATGTTAAGATCTTAGCGTGCATAGCCTGGGCACAGGTCCACTTTAAATGATGCCTGTAATTTTATTGTAATAATAATTTTCTACCCATTCACAACATGTCATGATTACATAAAGCCCGACTCCAGGCAAGATTTATTTTTTTTCCCAACCCACCCTCCCTATAACTCATCCTGCCAGCTGGTATGGTTTCCTTACCTGGTGAAGTTAGTTATATTCCAATTCCAGGTCCCTTAATGATGCCGGGGACGACTAGTCCAGTGCTGAGAGCACCCATCTGCTGGCCAGCCAATCACAATTTTCCATGTCATGTAGGCAGTAATGTGGAAACCCGGAAGAAGAATCCAGTGGAATTGGGTTTTAAACACTATTACTCCTAAATCTTCACTCTGTGGTTTGCTCGGTGCACAAAGCCTCTTCCCAAATCTTCAGAAATCTTCACAGCAGTACTTGTACATGCAAAACTGCAAACTCCAGTTATTTCAATGAAAGTCCTGTCTACAGCCTGACAGATGGTCTTTCCATTGAAGCAAATGGAGGCAGCGGCATATGGGTATCGCTGTGAAGATTTCTGGAGATTTGCTCAAGAGTTGTGCTACACTGAGTAGACCACACAATTCTCAGAGCAAAATCAGTATGGCACTATATTTTCATGTATCCTGTATCAAAATCTAGATGTAATAGAAAACTATGTAAACGCAGGAAAAACATACAAACTCTGATGGGGACTGAATCCAAGAGCCCATTGCTGCAAGGCCACTGTGATAACAGCCTTTCAAACTTTATGTTCATTTTCCTATTTCCGGACAGTTTTAAATTCTACATTTTACTGTACATAAAAAATTAGTTGCCTAGGAGCAAAATAAATGACCAACAACATTGACTTTGCCCAAGTATAAGCTTTCTGGATATTGCACCATATGTGGGCTGCATAAGTCAGCCATGTTTTATGAGAACTTTTCATTAAAACTGGTACAACTAGTAGCTTGAAAATAAAAAGCCTACAAGATGACAGTGGGTATCAAAGAAAGTATTCCAACAAATGCCGATTCAAGCAATAAATGGCTTAATAGCAAGCTGTAGCCAAATGTAGTCTGAACTATACAAGCAGTCTGAAGGAGTAACAAGAAAAGGAGGTAGTTGCTGTCAATGGTCCTGAGTTACTCCCTGCTAGCTCCTTCTTTCTGAGCAACTAATGTACCAGCTATTACTGTATAATCTGATTAGATTTGCTGGCTACATCATACATTGGAAAAATATAATATCTGTATGATTTGCTGCTTTCATACAGAGTGTGATCACTAAAGTGTGTGGATGCCTAATTCTCACTCCTGAGTATGACATGAGCGACAGGGGCCCCCACATAACATACCACTCATCTGAAAGACTAGCATACACATAAACACAGTTCTGCTTATTGCTTATATATATTTGACAAAAACGCAGAAACACGCCTGTGATCTTATGATACCTGGAATAAGCCTTTCCTGATATGACATCATGATAACCATACCTATAGCATGTCTAGTGCCGATCTATGCCTCTTGGTGCTTTCAGATGTATTCTGTTAACCCTTTTGCTGCCAGAGCTGTTTTTTGCATTTTTTTACACACGTTTAAAAAAATCATTTTAGGCCTGTAGATTACACAAAACCCCCCAAAATCATGTATTTTTTTAAATCAGAAAGTATTAAACAGTTGTATTTCCCATTTTTGTATGTCACAAGCTATTACCGCAAAGGTCTAGGACAATGGTGTCCCCCCCACCCCGTGGGGCAACTGCAGCCCTTTGCTTTCCTTTATTTGGCCCTTGTGGCATTATTCCTGTCACTGAAACTAACACACGGGCATAATTCCTTCCACTGGCACCAACGATGGGGTACTATTCCTCCTACTGACACCATCGATTTCTCCCCCTAATACCAAAAACGGGGCATTGTTTTCTCCCACTGGGCACAGTTCGGCCCCCCTAAAGTCTGAAGGACAGTAAATTAACCCATTTGTTTAGAAAGTTTGGAGACCCTTGGTTTAGGAATGCAAACTTTCAGTAAAAAACATACTGAAGTGAATTTTAGGGCAAAACACACACAATAAATTACCCAAATTTTTGGTGAAATATAAAAGATGAGGTTGTACCAAGTAAATAGATATCCAAAATGTCAAACTCTAAATTTGTGTGCACCCGTGCAATGGCGCCAAACTTTAGTACCCTTTATTTTCTATAGGTGACGGTTCAAAAGCCCCCTATAGGTCATCAGTTTAGTGTTACAGAGAAGGCCTTGTGCTAGAATTATTGCTCTCATTCCAGCGTGTATGGTGATATGTAACATGTGTATTGCCAGGGGCAGACTGACCATTTGGAAACTCGGGCACTGCCCGAGGGCCCGGGGCCAGTAGGGGGCCCCAGGAGATGCCCCTGGTACCTTTTTCATAGGTTTTTTTGAGTTTGGGCAAGGACACAGGGGCCCCATGATCCCCTACAACCCGGGGGCCCCATGAGTTGTCAGTCCGCCCCTGTGTATTGCAATTGATGCTTTCACGCCTAGGTGCCCCGATGTGTGCGTTTATGTTCGTACATGCATGTGGGGGGGGGGGGCCTCAAAATATTTTGAGGGATGGTGAATTTTTATGTGCTTGGGCATAACTTTTTTGCAAGTAAAATTTTTTTCATCACGTAGGGGACAAAAAGTCCATTCAAATATAGTTGGATTAGGCTGAGTTACCCATGTGGCTATAAACATTGGGGTATTTTCCTGACACCCATTAGAACTAAGGAAGTTACTTGTATGAATGGTGAAACATCTCAACAACTTACAGAACAAGTCCAGTCAAATGTGACTAACTATTGCTAGATGTAGCATTAGATTTTCCTAATTTGACACGATAATGACCCTTACATCAGAAATTAACATAGGACGAACTAGAATACTGATACATGCAGTCAAAAGATGACCAGATTTTTCACTTCTGACATCGAGGTGGACAGACAGAGATGGTGTAAGCGTCACCCTACACATGTAACGTTAATCGTCAGATTACTGCAAATAATAAGTATCCCATTTGTAGACATATTAAAAGATAAGTAAACTTTATTATCTGTTAGCTGATTAGGCTGTGGACTGTCTTTGCAGTGAGATTAATGGAGGCTATGGTGGGTAAAATTCTGAAGATTTCTGCCAGGGAATGTCCAATGCCAACATTTGTCACACATTAGAAATCTCTAGATAACATTGTTGTTGGTAAGTATAATGTATTTAAAGTGCTAAGGGACTGTAGGTTAATCGTTAAAGGCAAAAATATATATGTTTTTTCAGTTTTAGATAGAGGGGATTACAACACACGTCAGTTTTTATTGCTGTCTGCAGGGCCGGACTGACCATTTGGAAACTCGGGCACTGCCCGAGGGCCCGGGGTCAGTAGGGGCCCCATGAGATGCCCCTGGCACCTTTTTCATAGGCTTTTCTGAGTTTGGGCAAGGACACAGGGGCCCCATGATCCCCTATTGCCCGGGGCCCCATGAGTTGTCACTCCGCCCCTGGCTGTCTGTACCCCTATTAGGGAGATTCAGCCTCTCTAATTGTCATGTTTACAGTAATCGTCAAAAGTGAAAGTGAAGGAAAACCCCCACATTTTGGGTTGTCCCCAGAATAGTAATAGAGGGGAAATATTCCAATGGGGACAACAGTTCTGTGGCCCTAGTGACAAACAGGGATTTCCTCATCCAGTTTTAGCTAAAGGATAGGAAGTGAAGGGAAGTCTCCCCAATGGGACAAAAACTGACATGGTTTCTCTACTGAAAAGTTTTGCCTTTGGTTCTACTTTAAGTCTCTATGACATCAAAATGAAATATTAAAAATAAGTTCAGTCACCTTAAAGTCCAGTCCTGCTCCTTTCTCCAGTGCGGACTGGTCCTCAATGCAGGAAGCAACATTAAGATGATGATATCAGCCCTGTTTTCTACATGATTTTACTGTGAGTGCAGTGGTCATGATCTCTCCACCAGTGGAATGGTCCATAATTTTCTGAACTGACATTAAGTGGGTTGAATAAAACTGCGTGACAGAAAGGAGATAAGTATTGCAGCCAGAGCTGCATTTTTTAAAAAAGGCTTTAATTTTTTTTTCTGGAATTAGGCTTTAGAGTGGAACTAAACCCTTTTTTTCCCTACAGCCAAGAAACTGCCTTCTTAGCCTCTGTTTGATCTGCAGTTGCATTGGTGCTGCACATGTGATCAGATATGACACCAGCCATTTGATGGTTTGACAGTGTGGCTGCGAGCACCAGCAAATTATTTATTTATTTATTTCAGGTACTTATATAGCGCTGTCAATTCACGCAGCGCTGTACATATATATATTGTACATTCACATCAGTCCCCAACCCTCAAGGGGTGCACAATCTAAGGCCCCTAACTTACATTCATACATACACATACTAGGGCCAATTTAGACAGGAGCCAATTAACCTACCAGCATGTCTTTGGAGTGTGGGAGGAAACCGGAGTACCTGGAGGAAACCCACGCAGGCACAGGGAGAACATGCAAACTCCAGGCAGGTGGAATGTGAGTTATATTCACGGCATGCCTTGAATGTAACTGTTTTGGGAAATTGATGGGTTTAGTTCCGCTTTAATGACTGCATAATATTAACAATTATTTTTAAAACAACAAAATGATGTTCAACCACCATTAAGCCAACCGAAACACTGTGCATTGTGTTTATTTCTCCCTATGGTATACTTATTTTTGACTTGCGCACAATTTGGCACAGCATTTATTTAAACTGAGAAGTGCCTGTATTTAAAATCTTCATAGATTATTCCCATTCGTTGTTAGTAGTAGATAACAGAATGAGTGCAATACACACTGTAGCAAAAACATAAAACAGAACAACGAAAAAAAAAAAAAACTATTATAGACAAATAAAATCATCAAGCCTTTTCATGTTATCATAATACATAATCCACATATAAAAACTGACAAAGGCAACATGACTAAATATTTAGCTGCACAGAAAAAAAAAACAGCAAACAAAAGCGCTTCTAAAGCCTGCGCGTCTCTATGCCGGATACTAATGAGGCACAGATCCTAACGATACCGCAGATTACCCGCAGATAACATGTAAGTGGCATTACAGGGAACAGAGACGCCAGCTTGTAGGTTTTACCAGGCACTAGAAAGCTGTTCCTTGGTCTCGCTTCATTGCAGAACTGCATAATTTCATGTCTCCATGGCAACAGGCTGGCTGGCGGCACAGCACTGATGCCCCTATGGTGACTGCGGGGTGGCGAATGAATTAACTATAACCCCAAGAGCACAGCTAGTTCCAAATTGCGAGGATAAATGTGTAATAGTGACATAAACGGCTGAAATTGGGACACAGCACAGAGTAAGAGAGCTGGATCCTTTCTCACCTACGTGCATGGCAGCCGACAAAGGGGTTAAATGGAACAACTGTGGAAGCAGCACAAAGTAATGATGACACCAACAGAAAGTAAAGATGACGCCAAGCAAAACTTCATCGCTGAGACCCTGATGGAGGTTGTTGTTAGAGAGCCTGCATAACAACATGAACTGCACAAAGTTAGAAAATGATCATAAGGACTACAGCCAGATTGGATATACAGTATATAGGAACCATCTATACCAAAGAAAAGACAAGCAATGGCTACAGATTGATAAATCAGTCAAAGATGGGAGGATTCTTCTGATAAACCAAAATCAGCATCTAAGAAGCTTTTTAATACATTGCCTGACTTGAAGAACCCCCTCTGTCTTCCTTAATTGTTACATGAAAGTGCAAAAATTTGTAAGATAATATAATCACCTTTCTACCCCCCCCCCCCCCCAATTTGCGTAGAGCAGCAGTTGACGCCATCCTCTTGCCAACAAGATGTAAGTGAATGCCGAGTAGCCCAAATCTTGAGAGAAATGCTGCAGCATAGTTGTAGGATCATCTTCTTGTGGGACTTGGGCTACTCATCATTCTCCAAAATCTTGCCAGATGAAGGATGCTGTCACCCTCACCTAGGTACCGAGAACAAAAGCGCAAAGCATACAAGCTTTTTTTTTTACATCACTCATGGGTGCTCCCTACATAAGCAGATCCCCGCTACTTAGGTGCAAGTTCTGCTTTAACAAGTTTTAAAATTTTTCAAATGTAACAATTCCAGAAGCGTTTCCATTGCACATGGTGGAATCCTTAACACAAAGGGGTAGATTTATTAAAACTGGAGCATTCAGGCAGCTGTGCATGGTAGCCAATCAGCCAAACAAGCTACATTCAGCTTGTTCAGTTAAGGTCTGGAAATAAAACCTGGAAGGTGATTGGTTTCTATGCAGAGCTGCACCAGATTTTGCACACTCCAGTTTTAGTAAATAACCCACCAAAATGTCCATGTAAAGGAATATATCTGTTTTCTAGTGACCTGTTCTGTAATGGAGTCCCCCTTTAAATTGGAAATTAAGCTCTGCTATACTTACCATCCTTTCAGTGATGCAACTCTGCAGATATCTTTGCTTGGTCTTTTTCTGGGTCCCGTATCTTTGGCCATATTACTTAGCCAGCCCAGGAGGGCATAATACCTGCGTATACATTCTGGAGGTAATTATCCCAGCATCAAGGCATGCTGAGAATGTACATAGTTACATAGTTAGTCTGGCTGAAAGAAAGACATCCAGTTTCAACCATGTACATGAAGATCTCTTGATTGGCAAATCACAAGGTTTGATCTTTTTTACATGAGGGCAGAGGAGTGTCCTTAACCCTTTGTAAGCCTCGTCCTGGTGTTGGATTGGAACCAGGAGCGTTACTAGTGCTGAGCAGCCAGGACATCTACTGTGGAAGCAGAAATGAGATGTGGAGGGAGGGGGAAGAGGTTAGTTATTTGAAGGGGGGGTAGAGCATGAAGGTGAGCTGTGGATGGGGGGGGCGCAAAAGTAAATGGTGGGTGGAAAAGTCGCATAGAGACGAGCAGCAGATGTTTAATTTGGAGGGGGGCTTGAGGAGGATTGGATTTTTGCTGGGGAGGGATTTTCGCTTGGCAATGAGAGGGGTGATTTACTGGGGGGCAGCACAGCATAGAGAATACAGTGGTCAAGAGCATGTCATGTATGGCATGGCGTATGCAGTGTAACAGTCAGGATTTTGTCATGTGCACTGTACACTATAAACTTCCAGCCACTGTTGTATGATACATAGTTCTTACTGTCCTATGTTACATACTAATGGTCGCTGAACTGTACTCTTGAATGCTGCACTCTATAAAACTGGGTGTATGTTACATATTCCTAAGCCCTTTGTGTTGTATACTTGCCTACTCATGACATCTCTTGACCAATGCACTCTTTCCACTGGGCTGTATGTTACAAATTCCTGACCACTGCACTCTGTATGAGGGCCTATGCAGTACATGATATAATCCTGACCAGTCAGTTTGCTGGGAGTCCAGTAATTAGGAGATTGCAAAACACATCATAGCATAAAGAGTTTGGCAGTCTGAATGTAATATACGGCACAGCTTACAGAGCACAGTGGTCATAAGTATCATATAGCTTATTGTAAAAAGAGCAGAACTGTATGCAAACTGTAAAAAACTTGGAATTGCAATTGTTACTTGACTATAGCCTATCCTGCATACTGTGTTGCTGTCTCTGGCAAGATCTGTCTTTTAGAGGGTCCTAATGTTAAGGTATCCCTGACCATGCAGGATCTCCTGCATGGTAGGGGTTGGGGAAAAAACTGGCAACCTACCCTGTAAAATAATTGCTAAGAGAATTCATGGAAAAAGTCGCTTACGAGTGACGGTCCATGCAATCGCCAAGGGTCGGATACGACTGAATGGATGGATAGATAGAATGTTAAGGTATAGAGACGTGTCTTTTGCCTATTGATATTGTCCTTAACCATGCTATATACTTATATGTCAACTTCTGTGATTTTATGACTTGTCACATTGCATTGTCGATTTCTTTAAATAAAGAATTAATGAAAATAGAGATCAGAATTATTGAATGTGTAGTGCATTATACAGAGTAGTAGTCAGGTGTATCTGATGTACAAGAGCATAGAAATGCAGCAGTCAGGATTATGTAATGTTCAGTGTACCTTAAATCCTCCTGACTACAGTCTGTATGCTATGTTGTGCTGTGCATGTTTCCTGTTATATCTTCCATACTTATGACTGCTGCACTATGTACTCTTGACTCCATATTTAATACCTCTCACCACTGCAATCTGTACATTTGACTGTACACTGCATACTTCTGGCCAATAACTCTATACATTAAAAACTCCTGAAGCTTACACATTATATACGATTTTGTAATTACATACTCTTGTCAAAGGGTTTATTGTATCAACAGATGGTGGCTGCTAAGTAGTCCTCAACCACTGCAAAAGCTGAGGTGTGGGCAAACACATTATTGGGCATTAGCTAGGTATGGACAAGTACCTCTACTGATGTGTACCCCACTGGTGGCTCCTGCATCTTTTTTAAATGCAGCCTCTGGCGGTGATATCTTTACTGATGTTCTTGCAGTAAAACTAACAGTCAGGGCAGCAGCACAGCTATAACAGAGAGTGGCTCATTGTGCAGATCTTCGATTCAGAAAAGGCCCTATATCATTTTCAAAGAATATTAGGCATTCTGTGAATGGATGAAGTATTTATGAATGTCAAACTCCCCCCTTGTCCAATCACAGAACCCTTTGTATATAAGTGCTATTAACGCCGTGTTCCCGCTGGAGAAATCCAACCTCTATTTTGTCATAGTACTAAAAATGGGGGAAAATCCTACATTTTCAATAGAGTGGTAGTCTTCCCATGGGGACACCTGTGACAATTTCCTACAGGAGAATATTCCTCTTATAGAGATTTCCTCTCACTTTCTGATGTGTCTACAGGTCAGGAAGCAAACTGAAATTTCCCCAGTAGGAAATTACAAGAATAAAACTTATGAAAACAGGCTGGTCCTTAGATACCGTATATTTTTTTTTTTAACAAAATACTGTATATTCGAATGCTACAGTATTGTAGGCATAGAAGAAATACCCAGAATTATGAAATAGAGAAGGTGTCTCAAAATTGTGTCTTTTCTTGCTATAATCTCCATATTTAAGGCATTGTGATAACGTGTGAGTATTGTAGTGCCATTCACCTCCAACTGCATTCCTATGCACTCAGGAGGACACACATGCACTGCACTGCATTGTTAAGGACTGCTGTGTATCTGGTGAGTTGGCAGTCCATTCATTTGGAAAGGCTGCTTTAATGCAACACATGCTAATGAGTGTGTTAACATAATGTACCAAAACACCAAGGTGTGACTGGACCATACATTTTGCCTGTTTAAACAGGGTGAATTAGCTTTAATTTACCATCATTATTTTCTCATAGACATTCAATAGTAAAGACTAATGTCATATCACCGAAACATTACCATATAACTAGAGTTGTAGAATTTGTTCAGCCAGCAACCAATAAAATATTGTTATAAACTGTCTATGTGAGCGAGGTGTCTGGTTTCATATTCCCTTGAGTGTCATAGCATTTGTAAAGTGACATGTCATTGTCAGCATAGATAAGAAATAAACACAATACACTGTGGGTGATATGGAAAGGAGCAATCCAAAACAGGAATGCCTTGAACACAATGAAAAAGAGACACAAATGTATGCAAACTGAAACTTTAAAAAAATATTTATCATATATTTTGTAGAACGAGGATTGTATACAGATAGTAAAAATAAAAAACAGATATAAAATAACTCTCCTAGGTTGTAAGCTCCAAGGAGCAGGGCCCTTCTATCCCTCTTGTATTGAAATGTATTGTCTCCCTTATATTATAAAGCACTGATCAAACTGTTGGCGCTATATAAATCCTGTATAATAATAACAGTAAAAAACGTGTAAATGTACTTCCAGCCTACACTGGTAAGTTACTCATAGGAAGACCTATAGTACCTATAAATACTCTGGTGCTGGATCACCTACTAGCTCCTCTGCAGACTCCAGCTGTCAAGTTTCATCATAGGAAGGAAACTATTTAAAATTCTTGACTAGGGGACTAAAGATGGCTTGCCCCCAGTCTTCTCTGACCATTACCCCCCCCTTTTCAGTAAGTAACCACTCTGACAACAACCTGGGCTAAATGGCCAAAGCAGCCTTTTATTACAACAATCAATAAATAACATTCGAAAAAATTTATGTAAACAGTAGTATAACTAGAGCTTGAAGGTCATAGTAGGCATCAAAAAAAGAGAGTACCTGCTTCCTACTTCAAATAGGTCTCCAGCCACAACACAACTGACTCAAAGACAACCACCGCAGATACCACCATCAGAATAACTGGGAGCCGAAACTCAGATGGGTTCCTACAAAGTACCTTTCTGTGCCCACAGTAATCTACAAGGACCTTGCACCCCACTTGCTACCGGTCAACACCAACCATCACGACCAACAACACGAACAAAAAAGTAAACAATGTGTGGGCGGGAGGGAGGTTTTCGCTATCTAATCTTCCTTCTGACTGAAGACCCCCTGCCACACCCTGCCTGACCACCCCCTGTGGCTCCACCCCTCCCACCTTAAACACCCCTTAGAACCCTCCATTGTGCTATCCTACAAACCAATATGACTCCCAGCTCCAAACCCCTTTAACATCTGTCATGCTGGCCCTACGTTCATATTTTTCTTCTTCTACTACTGGGCCTCCCTTTCTATTGCTAACTGGCCCACTGATCTGCGAAAATATTTTCAGTATCTTTTAGCACCTATGTTGATGGGCTTTGGACTTCAGTTTAGGATGTTTTTGAGATCATTCAGAATTCATTGACAGGTGCGTTCCACCTGCAGTTGTCCTTCTTCTGACCCGGGTTTAACCTGCTTCAAGGACTCCAAAGACTTGTATGGGAATGCAAAACCCAGTTGAAGCAAGCAAAAAGCCTGTTGACACAGTCCCTTAGAGCGTTAAAATGTGCTTTCTCATCTTCAAGAAAAGCAGACTTCGATCTCCATTTTTGGCCAGAACATATACATATGATATTATAAAAAAGGAACACTAATTCTGTAGAGAAATAAACAATTGTGCCTGTCCATGGCCTGAATAAATTGCTGTTGTATTGTTTCAAGGTGACTGCTAAATGGGAGGGTCTTCTCTGATTGTTATTATCTAAGCATTCTCAGTGTTACAGTATGAAAAGGTACATGCATACCTTTAGATATGAAACCTTAAACTTGTATGATGAAGGGGAATTTTTCCAGTTTGACTCCAGCTATGTGCAAACGGTTGGGAAGATTTCTTGAGCCTTGTACAAAAAAAAGTGTAAAAAGTATACAAGAAAATATAGTAGGGGTCTAATAGACCCTTGGGGGTTTATTTACTAAAGCTGGAGAGTGGAAAATCAGACTCACTTCTGCATAGAAACCAATCAGCTTCCAGGTTTCATTGTCAAAGCTTCATTGAACAAGCTGAGGTTAGAAGCTGATTGGTTTCTATGCAGAAGGGAGTCTGATTTTGGACTCTCCAGCTTTAGTAAATAAACCCCTTGATGTCTCTATAAAGAGTACCAGGAACATGTGCAATGCTATCACATAGGGGCTTGTCAGCCCCCTTGTAATAGCAGTAAAGTTAAAGAGGTTCTTGAATAAAATATATATAGTCTGAATTGAAAAAAAAAAAAAGTGAGTAGCGACAAATACTGTAGCTGCTGACTTTTAATTAAAAAATGCTTACCTGTCCATGGATAAAGCGCTGCCCTTACCCAGGCAGGTTCTTCTCCAGTCTTTTGGGCACCTGGAGCTGCCCTGTTTACTGTTTATATTATAATATTATAGGGAGCACCTCTACCTTTCAAGCCTGTCCCATTGTGATATCTCTCTGTTTTTTCCGCTTTTGGCTATTAGGGGGTAAGCCCCCTCTCCCTCTTTACAACTCCTGCTTAGGTTTGGGAACAAGGCTTTTTTCCTGTAAAAAATGCTGCTTTTTGTTACAACAACACCTATTCAAGGTACTACTCAGTTAACCAGTATTACTATCACTGGTATGGCCTGATGTAAGGAAATATCTGTAGTTTATATACCTTTGTACACCTTGGTTTGAGTCTCAGTATATACTTTTTCTTTCCTTCTTTATTGGTTGGTTTAGACCTGTGGAGCTCTGGATTGGTGGCCATTACTTGCGTCCCCATATCAGGCCTCCTGGATGGCCCTTCGCCTTGTGGGAACGTAGAGGAGGCCTGCCTTCTATGATTGGGAGGCTTACCACTGCATGGTGCACATTAATACCATATGCAAGTCCTATTATATTTTTGTATGACCCTTTTCATATTTACATGATGTAATTTGGTATATTCAACATATGTATATCTTTTTTAGATTTTACTACTAAGCCCCTGAAGAAGCCATTGTTGTCGCGAAACATGTTGGGCCATTCTTCCAGCGGCTTAATGTCTCTCACCCCTCCTCCCCCCTTCCCATAGGACCTTCCTGGTGGTTATAGTATGCTTCATCACTAGTTTTGTTCAGTACAATATGGTGGGCTGTGGAACATTGTCTGCAGGGACATTGTACAATTACTTTTTAAACAGAAAGATGTTTTTTCATAACTGATTGTCAAAATGAAGTACAAGTGATTTTACTAAATATGTGTTTATGGTTTCTGTGCCTTTAAAGTCCATTTGCACTTCCTCCCCTTGCTTTTTTCCCCCCTTTTTGTCTGGTTAACTAGGACATGGAACTAGTGTACTATCTATTTGGGAGTGACCCGACACCGTACACTCCAATCTCCCCCCCTTTTTCTACTTACTGTGGGAAGCTGGCTGTTAATCCTAGCGGCTTGACAGCTGGCACGCCACTGCGAGTGTGTAAGTTGTTCAAATGGACCAGCAGCCTCGTAGGACCTGTAATGTATCCCAGGATGTTGCAGGCGGGAAAGGGGGGGGGATAGGGAATTTTCAGCGCAAAGTGGGTGATCCCAGTGGAAGTGGGAGCGGGTACCTGTCAAAACTAGGTACCCGCTATCCCCCACTGAAAAAAAAAAAAACCTCCAAAAGAGGGAGAAGAGAGAGGGAGGGAGGGAGGAGGAGATGAAACAGAATTTAGCTTTTTAGGTGAAGTACCACTTTCAGTAAAAACAATTTTAACTGCCTCCCACCCATCATATAGTAAAATGACGGACGCAAGGCTCTCATTCTGGGAGGATGTCATATGACATCCTCCCATTCTAACCGCGCATGCGTGGCTCCTGGGAATGCGCACGCGGCGATCGGCGGTGCGCTGCGTCCCTCGGACACAGCGGATCACCGATCCACGGAAAGAGCCAAAGATGTCGGCTTGGTCATGTGATCAGCTGTGTCCAATCACAGCTGATCACATGTACTGTAAACAGGGAAATGCTGGTTATCAGCATTTCTCTCCCCACGAGCTGTCACACTGACAGCTCATGAGGAGAGGAGAGCCAGTAATCGGCATTCCTCAGAGGGGACATGTACACAGATCATCAGAGCACTGATGATCAGTGTGCCCTGATGATCTGTGTAGCCCCAGCAGCGCCACCTGTCAGTGTCCATCAGTGCCAGCTGTCAGTGCTCATCCATGCCACCTGCCAGTGCCCATCAGTGTCACATCAGTGCCATATTTCAGTGCCCATCAGTGCCACATCAATGCCACATATCAGTGCCCATCTGAGCTGCCTTTCAGTGTCACCCATCAGTGCCAGTCAGTGCCACCTATCAATGCCAGTCAGTGCCACCTATCAGTGCTGGCAATAAGTGCCACCTATCAGTGCCAGTCAGTGCTGCCTATCAGTGCCGCCTAACAGTGCCAGTCAGTGCTGCCTATCAGTGCCAGTCACTCCCGCCTATCAGTGCCACCTGTCAGTGCCATATATGAGTGCTGCCTTTCAGTGCCCATCAGTGATGCCTGTCAATGCCCATCAGTGCCACCTACCAGTGCCTCCTCATCAGTGGCCATCAGTGCCACCTATCAGTGGCCATCAGTGCAGCCTATCAGTGCAGCCTAGTATTAATGCAAAAACTCACAATATGTTAAATACTTTGTTTTTGAAATAACAAAAAAAGTACTTTGAAGCACGCCAATTTTCAAGAAAATCTATGAATATGTTCTTCAGGGCTGTACTGCAGACAGAAAAAGCTGCAAACTAGCAATGAATCTCCGGCGTTCCTATAAATTTCAGTCTGGTTCCCTAACATTGACCCCTGGTAATGAGCACACCTTTAAATTGGCTCTTTTTCAATCCTGCTGCTTGCCTGTGCGGATGAAGATGTGTAACAACATTCTGTCGACTTAGGGAACACAAGTGAGAAGTGAAAATGACTAAGAGTTACAAGTCAACACTGGCAGTAGGCCAAAGCTCTGCTTGTGTCTATGGCGAATGATGCTATGCCATTGAGTGACAGCTAAGCAGACCCCAGTACACCGTGTATCTAATTACACCACTGAGCAGAATGATCTCAGAAATTGGTACTATCACAGTGCTGGTGCTCTGCTTTTCTGACTCTGAAGACATAACCACTATTGACAGGCTGTGAAAAAGGGATGCCCATACTTTGGCATGGCTGGGCAGTATGTATGACCACTGTGGACGGATATCTATCACTTTTGAATACCAAGTGCTTCCCATCCCTTCGGGTCCAAATTTCATCTGGCCCTAAAAATGGTATAAACCTTGTGGCCCAAACTACTAGAGATTTGCAATAATAATATAAAGGAAATCTTAAGTCCTCATGCACACTCAGCGTTTTTACAGCGGCTGTTTTTGGCTTTTGGCATTTTTTTCTACAGCCAGTAGACTCCAAAGCATGTTATTCTATGTGTATGTGTACACATAGGCTTTAATCTGCATTTTTTTTACTGAAAAAAAACCCAGAACCCAGGGACTATAGGAGTTTTTTAGCTTTAAAAATGGTCTAACGCTGGAAAACACGACAAACTGTGACAAAACCGGCATTTTTGGGTGTTTTTTTTGAGCCAAAATGTTATTTTTTTAGTGTAGAAAATGCAAATGCGAAAAAACACAGAAAAACGCAGCTAAACACTAATGCAAAAATACTAAAAAAAAATGCGGAAAAACTTGCATTTTTAACATGACTTTATACAGCTAATGCTACTGGCATTTTTAAAATGCCCAGTGTGCATGAGGACTAATATTTTATTTGTCACTTATGTTGCCAGCTCAGTTTCCGCCAGCTGTTGAGTAACACTTCTCTTGCTGCAGTAAGAGAATCTTATTGCATCTGATGCTATAATGTGAGGGTAGCATGAGCCCCTTTTATACTAGCCATGGCAGGTAGAACAAATAGAGCTCCACCATGCCTGGCTCCTCTTATTGGCAATCTGAAAACCTCTCTCTTCAGGGAAGCTTATGCTGCCTTCAACTAATAACGGAATCTTCTCTTCCTCCTACCAGTCCATTCCCCACAGTTATTACCTTTTGTACCACCAGCCCCTTCTTCTTAGATTGTAAGCTCCAAGGATCAGGCCCTCCTAACCCTCTTGTATTGAACTGTATTGTTGCTGTATTGTCTCCCTTTATTATTATTATTATTATTATACAGTATTTATAAAGCGCCAATAGTTCGCTCAGCGCTGTACATTACAAAGGGGGACAGAACATGTGACAGAACAATACCAATACAATGCAAAACATGAGGGGATTGAGGGCCCTGCTCTTTCATATTGTAAAGTGCTGAGCAAACTGTTGGCGCTATATAAATCCTGTATAATAACAATAAAAAGAGTTTTAAGTGATCTGCTTCTCACAGCTTGCCTTTGCTGAACAAGACAGAACAATTCATCAAGCTGCCAAAAAGTAAAAAGAAACATTAGAATCAGGATGGCAAATTGACAATGAAGTCACTTTGCTGCCGAAAGGCTGATACCCATCTGGTCATCCAGAGGTTAATTTTCTTTTTGCAATTTTGTCTTGTCAAACCACCAATATTGCCATTATAGAGAAGGGGTGATGGGTAAAAGGAAATGAATTTGTATGGTGTCCAAGTATTGATTTGATTTTCTCCCAGCGCCTAGGGCACCATAGGCTTAGTGAACAGCCATGGATATGAAAGCTGTTCTGCCTTCCTCCTTTTGGGATGAAACACGGAAAAGCAGAGGATTCAATAATTACAACCATTCCAGCCTATATATTTACACGGCAATTACAATAAACCTTTCTCAGGAATGCAGTCACTGCTTCATCTGCACTGGAGCATCATTATGATTTATGACCAAAAGAAGCTCATCTGTCACCGCACAGAGCCACAAGAAGGTTAATAGCATTTTAAGAGTAAAGAAGGGTAATAACATTTTTAGCGGAAAGATTCCTTCTATATGGCATGGCGTATAATACAGCAGATGCGGCTAAATGTCTATTTGATGTTTTATGGAGTCCAAGTAGAAATCTAGGTGCACATGTGAACAATGTATTTCAAATAAAATTTTATTTATACCTGTATATTGATATGCCAACTATTAACTGATACATTGTTTTTATTACATGTCAGTACATTGCCTATGAATATAATTTTGGTTGCATAAAGAATAATGAGCTATATACTTTAGGACTATAGGGAACGGCATTTACCAGGTAAAGCATCAAGTGAGAACTTGGAAAGGAACTGGACCCGGACCTCTAGAACCAGCTTCACAGAAGTTTTTATGAGAAAAACTAGGACTAAGAAGGCTGTGGGTCTCAAAACTCCCTCAGAGGTATATGCAAGATTATGCTGATGTTTTCCCCGCTCATTGATCCCCATATAACTGGGATTCATAATTTCAGTTTTACATTTAATACTGAAATCCACACAACATGCCTCCATTTCATTTGCCAGATTTGCTAAGCAACAAAAACCTGTACTGAGAAAATATGTAGGCTGTAATTATTGACTTCTCCTTCGCAGAATGGTAGCTGCTCCATTGACAGCCTATGGTTTCAATACAGTCAGGGTCACTGATGAAGATCAGGATTTCTGACTCCAGGTAGCTGAACTATAAGCCGTGTAAAAAAAACAAACAAAAACATGATTGCCCCCATCACTCTTTACCTCTTTTTGTAAAGTAATGGTTTTAACCACCACTAATACAAACTACTGAAAGCCAGCATCAGCACTGCAATGTGGGCAGGTGCTTCTTTTAGCAGCCTTGCACATTGCATTGTAATGATGTGATCACTGTATTGGTGTGTGATGGTGGTGACAACAAGACTAGTCGGACACTGGCCTTCAGATTAGCTTCAGCATGCCAGATACCATAATACCATGGTGGAAGATCACAAAATGTGGATTACTTTAAGTACTGTTGGGTGCCATTTCCTTTGAAATTAGCTAAACCATAAGCAGCCAGATCACTGATATTTTCAGAAAGAGGTCTGCAAATTATTATTATTATACAAGATTTATATAGGGCCAACAGTTTGCTCAGCGCTTTACAAAATAACAGGAGACAATACAGCAACAATACAGTTCAATACAAGAGGGTAAGGAGGGCCCTGCTCCTTGGAGCTTACAATCTAAGAGGGAGGGGCTAGTGGTACAAAAGGTAGTAACTGTTGTGGATGGGCTGGTAGGAGGAATTCCATTATTAGCTGAGGACAGGATAGGCTTTCCTGAAGAGATAGGTTTTCAGATATCACCTAAAAGTGGGTAGAGTAGTCTGATAAATTGGGGGTAGAGAGTTCCAGAGGATGGGGGAAGCTCTGGAGAAGTCCTGGAGATGAGCATGGGAGGAGGAGACAAGGGAGCTAGAGAGCAGGAGGTTGTGGGAGGAGTGGAGTGGACGGTTTGGGTGATATTTGGAGACAAGATTGGTGATGTAATTTGGGGCAGAGTTATAAATGGCTTTATATGTTATTGTTAATGTTTTGAATTTTATCCGTTGGGCAATGGGAAGGCAGTGGAGGGATTGGCAGAGAGGGATGGCAGATATGGAACTGTTCGTAAGATGGATGAGTCTGGCAGCAGCATCATGATAGACTGAAAGGGGATAGCCAGCGATGAGGTAGGCCAATGAGGAGGGAGTTACAATAGTCAAGGCGAGAGATAACCAGGGAGTTAACAGGTTAAGAATGGGTGTATCTTGGAGATGGCAAATGGCATCCCTCATATTTCTCTTAGCATAGGATTCCATTAGGGTACTATTTTAGTGGCTATTAATGGAAGCACATTGACTACTGCATAGCAAGATCCTCAACAGATGGACCTGGTGAGGATGCCTATTGCACCTGCATACTGCCACTCACAAAATACTGGTGGCCTGATGAGACACGTTTAGTAGATTTGGAGATAAAGTTTGAGCGATAGCCAAATCTGCACTTTTCATGTTAAGTCAAACTGGGCATTTCAATCTTATATTGTTCAGTGAGGCCTCCTATTTATTCAATTGGCAAAATCTTAGAGCACACTACTCCTGACTGCAGTCCCACAAGGTTTCTCTGCATGTTGTAAATTGTCTTGTGCGGTCATATATGGTTTTTTTTTGTACACAAATCATTTTAATGTTCTTGCTGCAGACTTTTATCCTGGGTCTTTTTTTTTTTCTTTTTGAAATTAGTATTATTATTATATAGTATGATAATGGAGACTTAGCAGTAGATGCCCTCTCTAACCCTCCTGGGGTCAAGTTTGCTTTGTGCAATGGACATGTCCTTTCTTGTGACTAGCTGCAAGGTCAAGGCTTTATTTTCAAAAGTATCTGCTAGGTCAGTGTTTCTCAACCAGGATGCACCCTGGGGTGCCGTGAGGAGCCCTCAGGGTGCCACGGCAACTGCCCAATCTGAGCGATCTTCAGTTAGCTCCTCTGCTACTTGAGGCATAGAGCACTGTAAAGTCCTGTGTACAGAGGAGGCAGAGAGCTTAGCCCGCACCTCCCCCACCCTCTGCTCCTCTCTTTACTCCTACCGGCAAAACAGAAAGCTGAGCTAGCTGGCTGACCACATCTTACCAATCGCTGACATCATCGGTTGCTAAGGACTTGCCGGCAAGAGTACAGAGAGGAGCAGAGAGCTGGGTAGGTGTGGCCTGAGCTCTCTGCCTCCTCTGTACACAGGCTGTTACAGTTCTCTCTGCCTCATGTAGCACAGGAGCTAACAGAGGATTGATGATCGCTCAGGTGGTGGTTATGCTAGGTGGGGGGTT